ACTGTGATCAGTTACTAAAGGTAAAAGTTACCAATGCAATTTAGAAATGGTTGTAGACCTGTCTACCTGAGGGGTTGGCTCATTGTATATACAAGAAAATGCAAAATAATAAGCATGCTAAATATACAATTTCCTGGTTATTGTTATTTGTAATAGCCAAATGAAAGTAAAAGAAAGTGCTAGGTCAGGCCTTGTTGCTGATCCAAGCTCAGGTTTGAGTTAATCTGAGCTTTGGCCATTAGTCTCAAAGCCACCTAGAAATGGAAAGTTATGCAAAGGCAACAGAAAGTACCTTTAAGATCTCTGGTCACCGAGAAGGTAGTTAATTTAGGGGGAGGGCAAAAGCAAGAAACAACTGAAACCATGGGATATAGTGTGAAGGAACTGGCTTATTTTGTGTATTGTTATCATCAACTTCCTAAAGAACCTTTACTAAAATGGATTGTGAGAGTAACCAATTTGGGGGGCTGGGTCTTTGCTTTTGAATGCTGCAGAGTGGAAGAGCATGTTTGGGTTGATGCAGGACTCTCCGTTCACTATTGAACAATCACAGACTCTAGGTGATTCAGACTCACAGGAGGTTATTCCCATGGGAACAGCCAGCCTGGTGGACTGAATAAAAGCCACTGTAAAGTGTGTTTATCCTGAGAAGGGGGACCGCCCGGCTCCCCCCCAATAAATGCCAAATGGAACACCCCAAATGAAGCAGCTGACATGATTAGTATGCAAGCCATATGGGACTGGCTTTATGATGACCAGGATATTTACTCACTGAATATGCCCATTACCCAGGTTATGATAAATGCTGTGATTAAGGGGGTAGATAGTGTCAGAATTGAGTTGAATTCTTATTCTTAGACACCCAGTTGGTGCTGCAAGAATTGCTTGTTGGAGGTGTGGGGGAATCCCCCCCCCATGTTGGAAATTGGGAGTAGAAACCCTTTGCAAGTAGCAGCACGTTGTTTAATCTCCACATATTTGTGAATTTTTTTATTTTCTTCCTGTGATTGATTTCTAGTTTCATACTATAGTGGTCAGACAAGATGCTTGTTATGATTTCAACCTTCTTAAATTTATTAAGACTTGTTTTGTGGCCTAACATATGATCTATCCTGGAGAATGTTCCATGTGCACTTGAGAATGTATTCTGTTGCTTTTGGATGAAATGTTTTATATATGCTGTTAAGTCAGTCTGGTCTAACATGCCATTTAAGGCCAATGTTTCCATATTGATTTTCTGTCTAGACGATCTATCCATGGATGAAAGTGGGATATGGAAGTCCCCTACTATTATTGTATTGCTGTCTATTTCTTCCTTTAAATGTGTGAATATTTGTTTTATATATTTAGGTACTCCCATGTTGGGTGCATAAATATTTATAAATATTATATCCTCTTCTTGGATTGACCCCTTTGTCATTATTATAATGACTTTTTTTGTCTTTTAGTATAGTCTTTGTTTTAAAGTCTGTTTTGTCTGATAAAAGTATAGATACCCCAGCTTTCTTTTGGATTCCATATGCATGGAATATCTTTTTCCATCCCTTCACCTTCAGTCTGTGTGTGTCCTTATACCTGCAGTGAGACCCTCATAAGCAGTATGTAGTTGGGTCTTGTTTTTTTAATCTGTTCAGCCACTCTGTGTCTTTTGATTGGATAATTTAGTCTATTTACATTTAAAGTAATTATTGATAAATACGGACTTATTGCTATTTTGTTAATTGATTGCTGGCTGCTTTGTAATTCTTTTGTTCTTTTCTTCTTCTCTTTTTCTCTTTGTGATTTGATCGTTTTCTGTAGTGTTATGCTTGGATTCCTTTCTCTTTCTCTTTTGTGTATCTACTATAGGTTTTTGCTATTGTGGTTACCCTGAGGCTTACATAAAACAACTTATATTTATAGCAGTCTATTTTAAGTTTATAACAACTTAAGTTCAAATGCTCTCTAAAGCTCTACGTTTTTACTCTCCTCCCACATTTTATGTTTTTAACATCGCAGTTTACTTCTTTTTAACTTGTATATCCATTAACAAATTATTGTAATTATAGTTCATTTTTACTACTTTGTCTTTTAACCTACATACGAGGTTTATAAGTGATTAACCCACCACCATTAAAACGTTAGATTATTCTGAATTTAACTATATATTTACCTTTGCCAATGAGATTTATACTTTCCTATGTTTTCCTGTTACTAATTAGCGCCCTTTCATTTCAGCTTAAAGAAGTCTCTTTAACATTTCTCGTAAGGCTGGTTGAGTGGTGATGAACTCCTTCAGCTTTTTCTTGTCTGGAAATCTCTTCATCTCTCCTTCAATTCTGAACGACAACTTTGCTGGGTAGAGTATTCTTGGTTGGCAGGGTTTTTTTCTTTCAGCACTTTGAGTATATTGTGCCACTTCCCTCTGGCCTGCAGAGTTTCTGCTGAAAAATCCACTAATAGTCTTGTGGGGGTTCCCTTGTATGTAACAAGTTGTTTTTCTCTTGCTGCTTTTAAGATTTTCTCTTTGTCTTTAACTTTTGAAAATTCAACTTTAATGTGTCTTGGTGTGGGTCTGTGGGCTTCCTGGATCTTCATGTCTGTTTTCTTCCCTGGGTTAGGAAAGTTTTCAGCCATTATTTCTTCAAATAAGCTTTCTGCTCCTTTCTCTCTCTCTTCTTTTAGGACCCCTATAATGCAAATATGAGTCTGCTTGATGTTGTCGCTGAAGTCCCTTAAGCTGTCTTCACTCTTTTTCATTCTTCTTCTTTTTGTTTCTATGATTGGATGAGTTCCACTGCCCTGTCTTTGAGTTTGCTGTTCCTTTCTTCCACTTCATCTAGTCTTCTGTTGAACCCCTCTGTTGAATTTTTCAGTTTAGTTACTGTATTCTTTACCTCTGTGATTTCTGTTTAGTACTTTCTTATATTTTCTTTCTCTTTATTGGAATTCTCACTTTGTTCATGCATTGTTCCCCTGGCCTCAGTGAGCATCTTTATGACCATTATTTTGAGGTTTTTTTCAGGTAAATCACTTATGTCCATTTCATTAAGGTCTTTTTCTGGGGTTTTATCTTATTCTTTCACTGGAACATGTTTCTCTGTTTCTTCATTTGTCTTGATTCTGTGTTGGTTTCTATGCATTAGATAAAACAGCCACCTCTCCCAGTTTTGAGGGAGTGACCTCACGTAGGAGATAAAACTTATCACTCAACCCTGCCTTGTGGTTGTCTCTCAATCCCTGTGATTTTCAAAGTATCCTGCTTTTTTAGTAGCCCCAGTAGTTGAGGGTGTGCCAAGACCTGTCAGTGTCCCAAAGGGGAGGATCTCAGTCAGCATCTAAATTCAGGCTGATTGGAAGCCAGACCCTCACGCAGCAGCTTTTAAAGTGTGCAAATATACCTCTATCAGGGGAAGACCAGGAGATGGACATTTCTGTCTGCTCCCTCTCCATTGGGCCCTGGGGTTATATAGCCAGTTAAGAACTGTTTCTTTGTTTGCTACTGTCTCGTTGAACCTGTGACACAAGCCCTGCGTGGCACCAAATCCAGGCTATCAAGGGACGTGTTCTCTGGATGGCAACCACAAAAGCCGGGGTGTCAGACATGTGCACAACCTTCATTCACAGGGACACTGGTGACTTGGAGCTAGGCAGAGGGACAGCACAAAAACGGTGCCCACTGGCCTTCTTGGTCTCTGGAGAGGATTGCAATAGGCCCCCAGATGTGTGTTGAATTAGAAGCCTGACCCTCAGCCACAGCTTTTAAGATCTACAAATAGATCTCTTTCAAGGAAAGACTGTGTGTTTCAGTCTGCTGCCTTTTTTTTTAAAGATTTTATTTATTTATTTTTCCCCCAAAGCCCCAGTAGATAGTTGTCTGTCATAGCTGCACATCCTTCTAGTTGCTGTATGTGGGACGCAGCCTCAGCATGGCTGGAGGAGCGGTGCGTTGGTTCACACCCGGGATCCGAACCCGGGCCGCTGGCAGCCGAGCGCACGCACTTAACCGTTAAGCCACGGGGCCGGCCCAAGTCTGCTGCCTTTTCACAGTGTCCTGGGGGGATAGCTGGTTATGAACTGTTACTCTGTTACAGTCCTGTGGGATCTGGGAAGGTAAGCCCCACTGGCCACCAGAGTCAGGCAGTCATGGGGTATATCCCCTGGGCGGCAGCCTCAAAAGCGGGGGTGCTACAGGTGTGCACAACCTTCTTTCCAGGAGATACCAGCCATCTGGAACGAGGCGGAGGGAAAGCACGAAGATGGCAGGCACCCGCTGGCCTCCCCGGTCCCTGGAGAATATTGTAGTTGGCTTCTAGATATGGGTTAAATTAGAAGCCTGCCCCTCCAGTCAAAGCTTTTAAGATCTGCACATAGGCCTGTTTCACGGAAAGACTAGGTGTTCAGTCAGCTGCCTTTGCACTAAGCTCCAGGGGATAGCCACGGTGAGTCCGCACAAGCCTGTTAAGACCTGTCTCTTAGTTCGCTATAATCTTGTGTGGGTCTCATGGACCTGAGTCCCCATTGGCTTTCAAAGCTAGATGTTTTGCTGGCCTGTCTCTCAGATGGAAGTCTTAAAATTTGGAGGACTAGATATGGGGTCCATACCCTTCGCTTCTCAGGAAGAACCTGGGAGTTGGGTTCCTTCCGGTTGTGTGTCACTGCTCCGTAGGTGGGGTTTATGGCAAGATTGTGTCTCTAGATTTCCTGCTCATTTCAGTGTGGGTTTTTTCTAATTCACCTGATTTGTAGGAGTTACTCAGCTAATTTCTGGATTTCTTTCAGGGAGAATTGTTTCATATGTAGTTGTAGATTCAGTGAGTCTGTGGGAGGAGGTGAGCATAGTAGCTTCCTATGTTGCCATCTTGAACTGGACCTCTCTACTAGAGTTTTGTAGATAAGTATCAGAGTCTTCCTATTTTGGGGATCTGAAACACGATAAATATTGTTCCCATTTGCTTTATGGCATAGCCCTGTGCCCTTTCCCAGCACTGACCTAACACTCAGCTGCTTTATGATTCTAGAAAAATAACTGTATGCTTCCTGAGGATGTGAAGAATTTTTACCTGATGACCAATGGCTTCCACATGACATGGAGTGTGAAGCTGGATGGTGAGTGAGCCTCCTTGCTGTAAGAACATTTTCTTAGCTGGGAGTTTGGATGAAACAACTCTGAGGGCCTTTACAACTTTTGAATCTTTGAATCTGGATGGTTTTCATGGGTTCTCCTAAAATGCAATGTCCAGAAGCTATAATTATCTTCCAAAGCTAACATATCCCATCATTGCATCTTCTACCACCCCATCCAGAGTCTAGCCAGTTCTTAACTGGAAGCTCAATTTACATGATTCCTGTTGGAATGGAGTGGAGGAAAACACTAGTCCTGAGCCACCTCAAAGTCAAAGCCTCTGAGGACTCTACCTTGAAGCAGTCTCCTCACGGTGAGCTGCACTGACAGCCTCTGTTGGTCATAAGAGGGGCTCCTTCCTTCATTCCCAGCGTGGTAAAGACCTCAGAGTTCTGACCCTCAGCACAGAGCCTTTCCTTCTCTCCCTCACATCTCCTCAGCCTAAGTCACCAACCATCTCAGTTTGGAGGCTATCATCTTTAGTATTAAATGTGTCCAGGACAAACATTTGTGTTGCAGATGTGGGAACTCACAGCTTGGTACGTGCCGGAGACTTAGGTACTATGTAGACACGAGAGGCAGTGCTGCACATTTAGGTGAATACTCTAGTAAAATTTCATAGGCTAAGAAACCCTGATCTAGCCACTGGAGTCCCGCCTATTCCTGGCACAGACTTCCCAGTCCTCAGAAGGCCTTTATTGCCTCCAGACTCTAGCCACATCCCCAGATCAACTTTGGTCCTTGGAAAGCATGCCATACCTCCCCATGTTGTCACTAAGAATGCAGTAATTTCAATTGCATAGCAAATCTGCAAGACTGACATCTCCCCTTCATTGTCTTTGCCTCTTGAGTTCCCTTTTTTTGGTGATTCCCAAAGCCTTCCTGTTTCTCTCTCACAGCTGACCAAAGGCACTTTTTATAGCTTACTACTAAGCATTGAATCATTTCCTCCAATGGCCTAGAAACCATTCTTGTCACCAGCATCAGAAGCCTCCTTTGTAGCATGGCCATGACCTTTGTAGTCTAGAGCAGCAGACAGAATGGACAGAGACTAGACTGACTGGCAGATTTTCCCTTGCCCACATCATGGAGACACGCTAGCCCCTCCACAAACCTCCCTCAGAGAAGAAACTTTTCATGAAGATTTTATGAGTGAGTCCCTATTCGTTATCACAATACCTTCTCTAATTTAATCCTCACAACCTCAGTCTTTTTATCTTTATTCCCATTACCATACCCATTCTTTACTGGATAGCTAAAGTCGGTAACAGAAAAGGCAGGGGAGGCAGCTTCTGATGTTTACCTCTTTAGGAGTGTTTTTTCTTAGACTTTCCATGGTCTACACCAGCTGTTTTATTGCCTTCACCCTTTCCAGTTTTTTCATCTGTCAGATTTCTAAGACTTTGTGTGCCATCCTGTGGCCAGCATCCTATATTACAAGGATTCTATATAGTAGATAAGGAAAATATGCAGTCTGCCTGTTTCTTATTTACACCCTAATCACAGACGACTAGAACCAAGCAAGAAGGCTGCCAGGTTCTCTCCATTGAGTGAGGAAAAATGACAAGTAGAGGGGGAGATATTTTCCATCATAAAGCTTATAACAAGAAGAGTAGCAAGGGTCAGTTATATGATCAAAGCTCTTACTCCTTTGGAAAGTATAATCCTTCATGCAAGCAAAAGAGGGAGCAAAAACATTTTTAAGTCCTTTGCTCTTCAAACAGGGTCCCTAGCCTAGATTTCCCAGTTCTTTTGGAACATCCTCTTTTTGAATTTTCTTTGGTAGTCCACCCTAACACATGCAGTGGGGACTCTTCACCTGTGGCCCCAGTTGCTTTTTTTGCATGAAAGAGTTGTGCTTTGGAGCGTGTAGTGCATTGATCCTCTTCTTTCCACTTTCCATCAGGTTTCTCAGCCCTAGGCTCCAACAATAGCTGGGTTTAGGTTACTCAAGCAGAAGCCCTTATGATGACCATGGTAAATAGGCTGTTACTCTATGTAATTCTCCTTTTTTATGTTCCCACAGAGCACGTCATTCCATTGGGCAGCATGGCAATTAACAGCATCTCAAAACTGACTCAGCTCAACCAGTCTTCCATGTACTCACTTCCTAATGCACCAACTCTGGCAGACCTGGAGGACGATACACAAGAAGGTACCTGGAGGAACTTCTGCTTTGAGTTAGAAATCAGCCTACTTGTTTCCCTTTTGTAATGTTGAAAACCATGGGAAGACATTGCGGCATTGTAATATGTTCCCCTAAACCCAAACCCTTCCCGTTCATGGCTTCTCAGGACCATGGGAGTAAGGTAAAAAACAGCCTATATCAACAAAGGAAATTTTCATGAAGAGAATGCCAGAGTTGGGATCTTTGTTTTGTTTCCAGCAGCCACTTCAGTGCGTGGAACATAGTAGGCACTTAATGAATACTTGGTAAATGAATAAATGTTACAGATTAAGCTTCACTCAACATGTCAGTATCAAGAGGGTTGAGGGAACATGGCAGTCTGAATGCAGCTCTCTTCCTCTTCATTCCTACCGCCAGGCTCTTTGCCACTCTGACTGAGATGGCTTATAAATCAAATGGCTACTAAAAGCTATGAGCAACTGGGTATAAGTGAAGACTTCTTCAGTCAGAATTGTGTTTGGCTGCATGTAACAGAGACCCAGTTAACAATGTCTAAACTAAATAGGAGTTTATATTTCTCAAAACAAGAAATCTGGAACTAGGCTGGTGTAGCTGTTGAAAACGTTTATGATAAAGTCTCCCTCTGGCTTCCTGGCACACTAGCCTTTGGGTATGGTTTTCATCCTCATGGTCAAGGAATGCAGGTTCTACCTCCAAGCTTCAAGTCTATGCTCCAGGTAGGAAGAAGAGTAAAAGGCAAAGGGCAAAAAACTGTTTCTTGGCAGAATCTTTCCCTTTTTATCAGGAAAAGAATAGTTTTCTCAGAAATCCCTCATAGAGTTAAAGGTTGCCCATAGCTGCAAGGAAATCTGAGGAGGTGAATATTTTTAGCTGTGCAGTATTGCCTCCTCAGACTGAATTGGGATTTAAGTAAGAAAGGAGGGGAGAATGAATATTGAGTAGGCAACTAGCATCACCAATACTAAGACCTTGGGGTTCATTGAAGTCCTGGCAGAGAGAACTGATGCAAGGCTTTCTCATTCAACTGGGCGAGCAGTTGGACAATAGTACTGGAGGATTCGAGGAACAAAGACTGGAAAGTGATGGGCGCCGTGAAGATCCTATCCCTCAGAGATGTGTGGACTCCTCAAGGGTGGGAAAAGGTCACATTTGCTTCATATGTGTGTACTGGGGCTCTCTAACCCCTAAAAGGCAAAGAAGTTGTTACGTAAGTGGAGTAAGTCTTCCCTGCCCTTGAGGCTGAAAGAGTAGTATACTAGATGACAGAGAGGATTTCAAGGACCTCAGCAAAGGACTGAGCTAGGGGTGGATACCAGATTGTCCTACATACTCATGGGGATAAAAACCACTTGGCCTTCTGACACCTGCTGGGTTCATGCTTTTTAGAATAATCCAACAACTAGACCTAAGTTTCATTAAACCTAAATAGAAAAATAGTGACTTTTCTCAGGGGACTCAGCATTCAGAAAGAGGACGATCAGGAAGAAATATCAGAATACACAACCAGAGAAATAAAACAGGACACAGATGAAAACCTAAATAGAAATGAGAATAAAAACACTTAAGGACATTTAAGGCAGCACAAAGACTTCCTGTAGATAAAAAAGTAAAGATTCTCAGTTAAGCAATGGACTAGATTAATTGAAGAAGATTATAAACATTATTGAGACTTGAAAAATAAAGTTCAAGAAATTTCAAAAAGCACAGATAAATAAATTTAAAAGGGGGAAACTATGAGGTAAAAGCTGGGAGGGTAAGAGAAGTAGAAAATAGATCCAGGAGATCTTCCACTGGAATTATAGGTCCCCAAGAAAGAGAAAAAGAACAAATGGAAAGGCAGTAAATAAACACTAATAAACTTCTCTCTAATTGAAAGAGTTCACCTAGACCCAAATTAAACTGATGAGAACATAGACACCTCAGCATATCTTGATGTGGAAAAGAAATACAAGCTTCTAGGCAAAAATAAGAAATTACTTGCAAAGAAATAGTAATCAGACTGACCTCAGACTTTTCACCTGCAACAGTGGAATCTAGAAGATAGTGAAAAAGCATATACAGGTTACCAAGAGAAAAAGAGTGAAAATCAACGGTCCTATATACAGACCAAACACTCCTCTCAAGTTATAAGAAGAATATTAAAGGATGTGTAAAACTTCAGGAAAAATACTCTAAACTAAAAAATAAATGAAACTGAATGGAGATCTCAAGATGTGGATATATGAAGAGGAAAGAAAACAAGGGATTAGTGAACCTCCTATGAGAGAAAAAAAGAGAGTATGTGTGTGTTTAAAACTAAATCTTAATATCTAGGAATGTGTTGCTATAACTTTTACATAAGAAATCTTGGAAAAGAGGGGACATAGTGTAAGGAATATTTTAAAATGTACTATACTGTCTCAGCTAAACCTAAAAGAGAGGAGAGAGGAGAGATATAAGAGTGCTATGAGGGCCGGCTCCGTGGCTTAGCGGTTAAGTGTGCGCGCTCTGATGCTGGCGGCCCGGGTTCGGATCCCGGGAGCGCCCCGAGGCACCACTTCTCCATCCAACGTGAGGCCGAGTCCCACGTACAGCAACTAGAAGGATGTGAACCTATGACATACAACTATCTACTGGGGCTTTGGGGGGAAAAAACTGAATAAATAAAATCTTAAAAAAAAAAAAAAAAAAAAAAAAAAAAAAAAAAAGAGTGCTATGGGTTAAATTGTGTTCTCCCAAAATTCATATGTTGAAATCCTAAGCCCCAATACCTCAGAATGTGACTTTATTTGGAAATAGGGTCATTGTAGATATAAGTAGTTAAGATGAGGTCATACTGGAGTAGGGTGGACCCCTACTCCAGTATGACTGGCATCTTTATAAAACGAGGAAATTTAGAGACAGGTGCACTCAAGAAGAATGCCATTTGAGGCAGAGGCGGTAGTGACAGGCAGCAGCGGGCTAGCATGACCTTTTTGGCAGAGGAGGTAGAGAGTGAAGGTGGTGAGTGAAGGTAGAGGGTGAAGGTGGGTCGTGCATGCTACAGCTGGAGGGACCTGTTCCTTTCTCTGAGGAGAAATCATAGTGACTGAGGGGAGGCAAAGGAAAGGGAAGAAGGCAGACAGAGAACTGAAGGAACACGTTTCCTGCTGTCTGCCCTGGGATTCTGGCAAGAGGACTGCCCAAGGACCTCTGGGACTCCCCACACAAGGATCCCCCTACTGGACTGTAGGCACACCCAAAGCCCCAAGTGCGAAGCACACACCTCCCCCACTCTGCTGTCGATCTTTTTTTTTTCATTTCTCTCTGCTAGCTTTTCATATGTGCGCACTCCCAACCTTAGTGGTGAGTCAGCTCTGGTAAGAGAAATGAGAAACTTGTGCTATAGCACCACCTTTTGGAAAACAAAAAATACTCCTAATTACCAATTTGTTGAACTAAAAGTAAACAAAGCCTTACTTACATAAGAAAGGTGTTCACTACTTCAAATGCAACAGCAGAGGCACTTTTCATCAAACACTATGAAAAATCACAGTAATACAGTATCACAAAAAAGAAAATGGTAATTTTCTAGCAATTGAACCCAAAGACAAAGACAATAGCAGTCCTCCTGATAAAGAATGCAAAATAGCTGTTATGCAGAAATTCAGTGGGCTACAAGAAAACTTAGAAAGGTGATACAATAATCTGAAGAGTAAGATTAATGAACAGAAGGATTGCTTTACCAAAGAAATTGAAATTCTAAAAAAGAACCAAACAAATTCTGGAGCTGAAGAACTCAATAAATGAGGTGAAGAATGCATTAGAAAGCATTGGAAATAGAGCAGATCAGATGGAAGAGAGAGTAAGCAAGCTCAAGGATAGGACTATAGAAATGTTTCAGGTGGAAGACGCGAGAGAACTAAGATTTAAGTGAAGAAATTGTTTGAGAATTTTCAGACTCCATTACAATAGCCAACATAAGATTAATGGATATACAGAAGGAGAAGGGAGGAAAAAGGAAACAGAGAGTGTATTTAAAGAAATAATGGCTGAAAACTTCCCAAACCTGGGGAAGCAACTGGATATACAAGTCCACAAAACTAATAGAATACCTTACTATCTCAATGCAAAAAGACTTTCTCCAGGACACACTATTAAAACTGTCAAAAGTCAGTGATAAAGAATTTTCAAGGCAGCCAAGGAGGCAAGACAATAACCTACACAAAAAACGCCATTAGGCTATTAGCAAACTTCTCAGCAGAAACTCTACAGGCCAGTAGAGAGTGGAATGACATATTCAAAGTATTGAAAGATAACAATTGCCACCCAAGAATACTCTATCTGGCAGTTATCTTTCAGATATGGAGAAGAAATAAAGGCTTTCCCAGACAAACAAAAGCTGAGGGAGTTTACCACCACTAGACCTTCCTTACAAGAAATGTTGAAAGGAGCTTTTCAAGCTGAAATGAAAAGACGAAAGTATGCAAAACTCTGATTAAGGTAATAGATAGAATTAGAAAACTGTAACTGTTTTTTGGAATGCTATATTAAACAGTTATAGCATAAAGCTTAAAGGAAAAGAGCACTAAAACTAACTATAGCTACTATAACTTGGTAACAAAATCACAGCATAAAAAGAAATAATTTGTGACATCAAATAAAGATAGATTGCCAGCGGCAGAAAAAGGACTGTTGTGTATATGAGATGTTTTATGTAAACCTCACGGTAACCACAAAGCAAAAATCTAGAGCAGAGACATGAAACATATAAAAAGGGGAGACTGAGCAAATCACTGTGGGAAACCATAAAGTTACAAATGTAGACAGAATCAGAAGGAAAAAGAAACAATGGAGAGAAAAAATAGCCAGAAGGCAAAAGATAAAATGGCATAGTAAATTCTTACATATCAGTAATCTCCCTAAATGTAAATATTTGAACTTAGCAGTCAAAAGACACAGAATGGCTCGATGGATTAAAAAAATAAGACCCAACTATGTGCTGCCTACAGGATACTCATTTCAGCTCTGTAGACTCACATAGGCTC